GGGGACAGGAGACAGCCAGCGGGGTTGGTTGGCTCTGCATCCCAGTTTGCACCAGTAAAATCCATGACACGAGGAGCTCCAGTGTGTGTCCTGGGAGTTATCAGGGTGCAGTTTTGTGGGGGTCAGTGAAGCTGGCACTCATGTCACCACGGGGAGGACAGTGGTCAGGGTGGCATGGGGACACATGTTGTCTCCCTCCATGGGCTGACACTCACCTGTGATGTTCCTGCGGGTGCCCAGGTCCAGCTCCAGCCAAGCAGCCTCAACACCAGGTTCAGCTGCCCAGGAGTGGCCAGTAGTGCCCAGTGCTGCCCGTTCAGCCACCCAGGCCCTGTCCTGGCCCAGCACATTCATCTCATGCCACCAGGATGAGGCGTTGAAGGCAGCTACCTCCAGTGCATCATCACAGGCTGGGGACAGGAGACACCAGGCTGCAAACCCAGGACTCCCAACCAAGGTGGCACCAGGTCTGGCAGCCAAAATCATGCCTTAATTTCAGGGGAAATGGGGAAAAATACCTCTGTGGAATATGAGCCTCTTCTCAGAGAGAGATCCCCTGCAGGGAGGAAAGCAGAGGAGCATCAGAAAGAGGATCCCCAGGTGAGCAAGCCCTGGGAGACTCCGAAATGGAGGGGTGGCAGTTCCCTGGTGTCAGCACAGGTGAGTCCCACAGAAAGGAGTGGGGTGCAGCTGGGGTCCCCAGCCCCTCCTCACCCACCTTTTGGAGTGGAGCCCGTTGGCAGAGGCTGACTCGTAGAGGGTGATGCCCTTCTCCCGGGACAGGGTGACCTGCCCGCCCAGCTCGTCCGCGATCACCCCGGCATGCACGGCCGCCTTGCACAGCACCGACGTCTGCGGGGAGCAGGGGGTGAGAGCAGCCCCCCACGGCAGGGACACGCACCCCCAGAGCACCCCATGGCCAAACCCATCCCCTGTGGGCTGCTGGGGGTGACAAGAAGTGGCCACACGTGCTGGGGATTCGTAGTGCCCGCACTTACGTCCCGGTAGCCCTGGCTGGGGTTGCCCCAGATGTCCCCATCGATGTCCTTGCAGCCCGCAGGGCAGTACACACTGAAACACACAGCGAGGGGGGTCAGAGCTTGCTCCTGTCCAAACCCCCTCTGCACACCCACTCTGCTCCCCATCCCAGCACAGCTGCACCCCAAGAGCCCTAGGAGACGAATGGGGATGAAACCAGGGCTGGTGGGACTAGCAGTGACTCCAGGGTGGGGGACACCAAGGTGGGACCACTCACACCCCCTGACCACTCACCTGATGTGCTCCTGGGTGTAGTGGGTGCCTCGAACCAGGCAGGAGACCAGGTCTGCAAGGCAGGGACACCCCAGGGTGAGGAATCCTCACCCACCTCACAGCACCCACCCACCTCTGCCCCTGGGCACTCCATCCCTGTGCCCTTCCCAACTGAATCCTGCTCCATGTTTGGGTTTTGCCTCCCACACCCTCATGTCTGGAGGGGCAGAGAGGAATGGCCCCTTGTCCCTGCAGCCATCAGCCCCATGTCACCATCTGTGGTGTCTGATAATGGGGTACCAGCTGACCCTGGGGGTCCAGGGTACCATGGGGTGTCCCAGCTGGCTGGGTGGCCTAGGGGTCTCCCATGTTGTGCCACCAGCCAGGGAGAACATGGATCTTCAGGGAGCTCAGGGTGATGGGAGCCCACCCTGAGGTCAGCAAGGAGCTCCCTCCCCTCCCAGCTGTGCCCCCTTCCATGGGCCAAGACACATCCTGGGGTGGTGGTCTCTGCATGCCCAGGGGACACTCCCCCCTACCTGGGTGCTGTGTGGTGGCATAGGACAGAAGGAGGCCTCGTCCTGAGCGATGGCTGGTGCTGTTGAACAGGACAGTCACAGTGCTGGAGTTCATCACCAGGAAAGGGGTGGAAGGGACAGAGTTCCTGCAGTAGGGCCCTGCCAGCAGGGATGAGACCATGGAGAGGATTGGGGCTCCCTGGGGACAGGTGAGGGCACCTGGACCCCAGGGCTTCACCTCCCCTGGCTCAGCCCCCACCAGGGCTGGGAGGTCTCAGGCATTTGGGCTGTGCTCAGGGTGGTCCCATGTAGAGTGGCCCCATGCCAGGGTGACCTCATGCCCAGGGTGGCCCCATCCCCAGACCAGTTACATACATGCTACGGGGGAACCTGAGGTGCAGCCCCCCCACATCTCACCCTGTTCCCATCATCCCCCAACTCCTCCCCACCACACTGTCCCCCTGCAGCCATCAGCAGCACTGAGGGGGATACAGACCCCAGGCATGGGGGTCAGAGCAGGACCAGGCTCTCCAGGGGCACCCCAAGGTGTCCTGGGATGGTGTGAGAAGTCACCAGCCCTTACTGAGTGTCTGCCACCACATCCCTTACTGCAGGTTCTGGCACACATGGCATCACCCCACGGGACCCCGAAATAGGGGCTGTGTCCCTGTCCCCTCCCCATCTCCCCTTTCACAGGCACTGCTGAAGCTGCATCCTAAATCCTGCCCCCATTTAATCCACATTAATTTGCAGTCTCCATCTCCCTGATTAAAACTTCGGCTTAGCAGGCAGGCAGGTTCCTTATGGACATCTCTGGGCCCAGCTGGGGACAAGAGGTGGCCCCAATCCCCAGACTGCCATCACCCCCAGCCCCCCACATCGCTCTGCTCTGCGTCATGTCCATCACTGGGGCCTCGGAGTGTCCAGAGATGCTTTGAGCCAATCCCATCGTTGTCCTGGGCACAGGGAGCTGTGTCCCTGTGTCCCCATGGGGCTGGTGGTGACACCTCTCACTGTGGAGTCATGCCGTGCCTCAGTTTCCCCACCTTGACCCTCATCCACATCCTGCCTGGGGCAGAATGAACTGAGAGGTCAAGCCCAGGGGACATGGGACATGTGTGTTCAGGGATGCCACAGGGTCACAGACATGACAGAATGGGGGCTCTGCACGAGATACAGATGACACACATGCAGATTTCCCTCCCAGCTGCTGCCAGATGCCAGTGCTGCCACATCCATATGGATCGTGGTGACACTGGGAGCTGAGCACCCCTTGGCCAAGCCCAGGGCTAGACGCTGTCACCCCCATGGGGACTCTGCCACGTCCCCAGGCAGGATCAGGCCGGGGCCCACACACCAGTACAGCCTCCCCCTGCTCTGGCCACTTCCCGAAAAACATCTGGGACTTCTCAGCTGGGGCCAGCCACGGGAGAGGGAGTGGGACCCCAGGCCTGAGTCACACTGGCACACACAGTCCTGGTGAAGGCACCCAAAGGTGCTGTGGGTGCCTGGCCACCTCCCCCAGCCCCCTCATCCTCTGGGAATTCCCCCTTTCCCGTGTTGCTCCATCTCAGCCTGGGCCAGGAGCTCTCTTGGCTTTGGGGACAAACATGTCCCCGAGGCCACAGCAGAGGGATGGGGACCAGGGACCTTGTGTGCTGTCACTCCTCTGGGTACCAGCCCAGAAAGGGTGAAAGCCCTGGAGAACAGGGAAAAACCCCAGTCCCAAAAGCAGCTGCAGATTCAAGCTGGCTGTTTTCCACTCCATGTTTCCCATCACACCCCCTGCCCAGCCCCTGCCCCTCACCAGGGCTGCTCATCACTGATGCTCCCTGCCCTCCCCCACAAGACATTCTCCCCAGCACCCGTCATGCTCCCAGTGCTGCCAAATCCCTCCAAGACCATTAAATCTCTCCAGGAAAATCCTGGAAGCGCTTGGGCAGCGTGTGGGTCGACAGAATTAATTCATCAGTGGCTGCATCTGCTCCCAACTGGGCACACCCTCCCCCAGCTTGGCAATACCTCCCTTCTCGGGTACCCCCAGCTCAGATACCCCCATCCTTAGACCTCCACCTCCTTGGATCCCCCCCCCTCCTCAGATAACCCCATTCTCAAATATTCCTCTTCTTGGATATCCCCTTTATTTGGATACCCCTTCCTCAGGTACCCCCACCCTTGCATATTCCTCATCGTAGGATAACCTACTCCTCCAATATCCTGCACTTTGGGTACCCCCATCCTTGGGTATCCCTCTTCCTTAGATATCCCCTATCCTCAGATACTCCCCTCCTTGAATACCTCTTTCCTGGGATACCCCCTCCTTAGGTACCCCATTCCCCATGACAAAATCACCTAAAAATCCAGACTTTCCCAAGATTCTTCCTATCCATGAATCTATCCAATGTGCTATCATACCCCTCCACCTCATCCACAGCCCCTCTGCCTCAGTTTCCCGTGGGACCCCCTTACCATAGGTAGTTCCAGCCTGGAGGTCGGTGAGCTGCAGGAAGCTGTGGGCACAGTGCTCCGAGGGCTCCAGGTCCACATCCCCAAATGCCAGGAGCAGGGAGGTGCCCGGGGGGGAGTGCAGCCGCCAGCGGCACGCGGTGTGGTTGGGGTACGTGCCAGGGTAGTTCTTGGAGCTCAGGGTACCACTGTGGGGGGTCAGCAGTGTGTGGCCACAGCCATTCCCTGTGGAGAGACCAGGGAGAGGCTCAGCCAGGCTGCTCCCTGCCTGGGGTGGTCATTCCCCACTTGGCATAGCCCCCAGGACATCCCTTGGACAGCTGTAGCCCTGTTAAATGTTTTCCTAGTCCAAAACATCATTTTTTTGGTGTTTTTTCTGGCTGTTCCCTGCACTGGGGGATTCAAGCTGCCTCGGTTTCCCCCACAGCCCCCCAGCACAGACCTGCACCTCCAGTTCTCTTCCATCCCCCAGGCCAGGAGAACCCCAATTTGGAGGCATATAAAAGGATCCAAGGAGGAAATACTCCCAATTCCATAGGGCTGTACTGCACCAAGCAGCCCCCAAGACCCCCTGGCTGCAGCCTTGACCTTGAGTGTGACCCTGGGCAGCTGCATCCCCACCACCTCCTTCCCAGGGCGATTCCAGCAGCCGCCACAAAAGGAGCTTTTCTCCTGGCTCACCACCCCCAGGCATGAGGGAATATCCTGGAAATGAGCTGAAAGTGCCCAGTGTTGGGGCCCAGACAGAATTTCTGGTCAGGGTTAGGGCACAGGGAAAGGAGGGAAGCACTGCTCAGCCCCTCTGTGAGGGCCGGGGGGATGTGGGGGTCCAGCACTCAAACTTCCCCACACACATTCCCAAAAAGCTGCTGCTCCTGCCAAGCATCATCCTGGCACAGCCAGAAAGAAAAGGGATGGTGGGGCATGGATTCTCCCAGCCTTGGCTCCCTTCGCTGTCGCTGGGAGACAGCACAAAGCACCAGCAAGGGAAAATCCTGCACGGATAAAAAAGGGGGGCCGGAGGTGAAGGATGCCAGCCCCCCACAGAGCCCCCTCCTCCCCAGCCTGTGGGAAGGGCTGGCAGCCAAACTGGGGGCGTTTATCCCATGGGTCTGGGAGAAATCCCCAAATTTCCCCCCCGTCTGGGCAGGGGC